TGCTGTGGATATCGCTCTGTATAAATAAAATGCTGATTGGCCAGTAGCCAGGCAGGAAGTATAGGTGGGACAAACAGAAAAGAGAATTCTGGAAAGTGGAAGGCTGAGGCAGAGAGATGCTGCCAGCTGCCACCATGAGAAGATGTTAAGATATGGGTAAGCCATGAGCCACATGGCAACTTGTAGACTAATAGATATGGGTTAATTTAAGATAAAAGAACTAGATAACAAGAAGCCTGCTGCGGCCATACAGTTTGTAAGCAATGTAAGTCTCTGTGTGTTTACTTGGTTGGGTCTGAGTGACTGTGGGACTGGCAGGTGAGAGAGATTTGCCCTGACTGTGGGCCAGGCACAACCAAAAAAACTCCAGTTACACTGACTTACTTCACCAGCCCCTCTGCACCCCCCAGATCTTCTGCAAAGCGCCACATTTCTACTGACTGGTTTGCCTTCTCTAAGAATCCTTTGAGCCAGCACTTCTTGCTCACATTTAACTAAGGATGAGACCAAGGCTGAGCAAAGAGAAATCACGTTCCCTGGGACACACCCTGAAAGCTGGATTCCATTCATGTTCTTATTCACCCTCCTCTGAAATCCTAACTGTCAGTCAGACTTCTTAGAAATGCAGAACCTCAGGCCTCCCTCCTCCAAGACCTACTGCATCCACACCCATAGTTTAACCAGGCACTCCTGGCCCAGGGGATTGTTGGGCATGCTAAAGTCTTAGAGCATCACTATAAATCACTTTCGGCCAGTCAGAGTACTAATTACATCAAATAGGTGATCTTGTTTAACCCCCAGGTCAAGAAAGGTCAGCATCATTACTCTGTTGCTCTGGGCAGAGCAGGCCTCTCTTTACTGCTGCGGATCTCCTTAACAATTACAGCCTCTCTTCCAACACGTCCCTTGATGGTAACACGAAGCTTCCTATTGCTCTTTTTTTCCCTCCAAACTGTACATTTTGTATTTCTTTCTGCTCCTTCCTTTTTGTCCTTACAGACTTGTATAAATGTTATCAGTAACAAGCATCCCACAGACGCAATGTTCTGTTGTCTTGAAATTTCTTCCACCAGGGGCTGGAAAAATGGCTCAGTGGTTAAGAGCACTGATTGCTCTTCCAGAGGACAGAGGACAGGGGTTTGATCCTAACTCCCACATGGCAGCTCACAACTATCTGTAACTTCAGTCACAGGGGTCCAATGCCCTCTCCCAGCCTCTAAAGGCACTTCATGCACAAGGTACACAGACATACATGCAGACAAAATATCCATACCCACAGAGTAATAAAATAATTTTTAAAATATTTTTAAGAAGTTTCTCATGATGAATAAATTAGCCCATTACTTTAAAATTTAGGCTCAGGCAAGTTCTTATGACATGGGCAGAAGGTAGCCAGATTTTCTGCCTACATATTATATATATGGGTCATAGCCTGTTGCTAATGTTGTTCCCATCTGAAATCTCTTGAGCTGGGCCTCTGCCATCCTTATTACTCTCAGCCCTGCTGTCTTCCAGGCTCCTACTAGAACAGACCACTGAACTCTGCTTACAGCATTCAGTTGTTTTTCTAGTCCAAAGTTGCAAAGTCTTCCACATTTCTCCAAAAATCAACATGGCCAGGTTCTTTACAGCAACAGCCCAGTCTCAGTACCAACTTCTGTATGACTTTCTTTTCTCTCTGTTTGTTTGATAAAATGCCACGACACAGGCAGTTTATAAGGGAAAAAAAAAAGAGTGTATTTTCTGTTTCAAGTATTCAATTAAAGGTCCAGAGGGATAAGAGCCCATTGTGGCAGGGACATGGGGCAGCCATTAGCAGGCCTGACAGCCCGAGCAGGAAGCTGAGAGATCATATCTCAGCCACAACCACATACCAGAGACAGCTAACTGGAAGTAGGAGGAGGCTGTAGATTCTCAAGGTCCACCCCAGTAATGTACTTCCTCTAGCAAGGCTCTATGTGTGGTTAGAATGAGATGTCCCCCAGAGTCTTGGGCATTTGAAGACTTGGTCTTCAGTTGATGGGTGCTGTTCGGGAAAGCTTAGGAGGTGTGGCCTCGCTAGAGGAAATACGTCACTGGGGGCAAGCTTTGACGTCTGCCATCATTTCTAGCCTGCTTTCTGTTTCATGTTTTCAATTAAAGACATGAGCCCTCAGCTTCCTGCTCCTGCTCCCACGCCTTTGCTCTGCCATCATGGACACTAACCCTCTGGAACCACGAGTTCAAATAAACTCTTCTAATTAGTTGTCTTGGTCCTGGTGTTTTTTTTATCACAGTAATAGGAAAGCAACAATATATCATACCTCCTAAAGTTTCCATAACCTCCCCAAACAGCACCACCCACCAATTGAGGACCGAGTGTTTGAATACACATAGATAGGGGACATTTCTCATTCAAACAGTCACAGAAGTCCGAGATTTACCTCCAATGCATAGCAGTCTTCCTGCTGCAGCCTCCCAAGTGCTGAGGCTACAGACGTGAGCCACCATGCCCAGATCCCTGGTTCATTCTTTTAGGAAATATACACTGAGCTTGGCATAATGACATAGGCCTATATCCTTGTATGTGGGAGGTGGAGGCAGGAGGATCAGGAATTTAAGGCTAGTCTCCTCTACCTATGATGCATTTGAGGCCCTGGGCTATCTGAGACTCTGTCTAAAAAAAAAAAGAAAGAAAGAAAATGCTGAGCATCAATTGTGCCAGGTGCATAATAAGCCCTGAATAAATGTTGATTGAATCAGTTTCTTCGTCAAGCACATGACTGCTTTTTGGTGTGTTAGTGGTTTGTTTTTTTGAAACAGGGTCTTAGGACGTTGCCCAGGCTGCTTCTAACTCACCGCCCTCCTCACTCAACTTCTCCAGTGCAGGGGTGACCGGTGTATGGCACCACCCCTGGCTTGACTGCATTTATTAAAGCACATTTGGCACACTCAAGTTGTCCTCCTCAGCTGTAGTATCCTTGACTGTCCGTCCCTCCCTCAAGCTCCGCTCTATTCCCTAAACAGAAGGTCTGGCATCTCACGGGGCCTCCAAAGCAAGCAAATGCTGTCCCGACTGAAAGTAGACTGTGCCTGTAGTACTTCTAGAGTGGAGTGTTACCAGAAGCAAAGCCTTCTGCTTCTCAAGGGTGGAGAAGAACAGGTGACAGTCACGTTTGCCACTCACCACCCCCGATCTGTGGGCTGACCTAGGATGCCAGCAATGACTAGTGTCACAGACTCTGGAACCTGTTTTTTAATTTAAAAATTATTTTACATGCCTGGGTGTTTTGCCTGCATTTACGTCTGTGCACCACATGCACGCCTGGTACCTGCAGCGGCCAGAAGAGGGTGTCAGATGCTCTGGGACTGTAGTTATTGACAGCTGTGTGCCACTGTGTAGGTGCTGGAAATTAAACCCAGGTCCTCTGGAAGAGCATCCGGTGCTCTTAACCATCTCCAGGCCCTGCAGACAGTCCAATCACTTGTTTTCTCCAGACTGTCAGTGAAGCTGTGGAGTGTAGATCAATGAAAGAGTCCTTGCCTAGCTTGCCAAAGCCCTGAGTTTTTATCTCAAGCACAGAAGGAGCAAGGGAGAGCCAAAGACAGACAGACAGACACACACATACACAGAGAGAGAGAGAGAGAGAGAGAGAGAGAGAGAGAGAGAGAGAGAGAGAGAGAGAGAAAGAGAGAAAGAAAGAGGGGGGAGGGAGGGAGAGGGAGGGAGCCCTAGAAATGGTGGTTGACCCCTTCACACACATCCCAGGTTAAAACCAGGTTCCCACTAACCCGTTTCCCTTCGCAAGAACAGAAAGAGCAAAGGAGGCCACATGTAGGGGAAGAACCTCCTAGACCGCAGAGAGCCTAGTCGTTCCCTAGTTTAGCCTCTCTTTTCTCCGGAGATATAGAAAAGCGTTTATTTCTAGGCCTCAATTTCCTCGTTTGTGAAATGAGGGGGTTGGACTCATTTCTAAAGCTCCTTCCAGCTCCAAGACGCTGTGCTACAAAATGAGAGAAATGTGAACCTTTGGTTGCTATGATCTGAAAATATTTTGAACGTGGAGAATCAAAATTGTACAGCAGCACACGAACAAAATAATATGTTAATGACTAAGAAGATTGTATTTAATCCAACGGAAAACAGCAGAGCCTCTGGTGGTGGTGTGCACGCGTGTGTCTGTGCTCAGCTTCCTTCCTTGAGCTCAAACATATATTTTGTTTGAATCGCTAATATAGTAATCAGGCCTCTGGCAGCCTATCAGGCCCAAACACACGCACACACCACTTCAAATTAAAATGAGGGGCAAATTCACTGCTGGCTGCTTGCATCTTTTCTGTTTGGGTGGCTCTTTTAGAAGAAAAATTTTGTAGTGACGGTGTTGAACTGACAGCCCCTGGAGGCCTCTGGTCTCAGAACTGGGACGTGTGGGCGGGGGAACTAGGGATTTCATTAGCATCTTTACTTTCCTACACCAACTGCCCCCTACACAGTCGTCACAATTGCGCACAATCTCGCACAATAGCTCACACACCCGGACCCTGAAGGCCGGAGGGGTCAGATTGCTAACCCCCCGTAGGCGCCAGGGCCAGAACATGTGCTCTGGGTCCTGCCTGCGGGAAGATGAGCTTGGACCCGAAGGGCTGAGTCCGGAAGGTGCTGGATGCTCAAGGGTCAAGTCGCCGACCTTTCTTGCCCCTATGGGTCGCAGCTGGGAGGCGGGCGTGGCTCAAAGGCCGCACGTGGCTCTGAATACAGCCCGGCTCCAAGTTCACTGCCACTGCCGGGCCTCCGTGTCCCAGCCGGGCTAGGCAGGCCAGAGTCGCACGGCGTCGGCGGGGCTGCCCCAAGGTCCCCCGCAAGCTTTGCAGAGGCGGCGGGCCCTCTCCGCCCGACGGCCGCGCCCGCACCGGGGCCGGTGCCGATTGGCCGGCGGGCGATCGCTGGGCGGGCCGAGGCGGACCTCGCGACCAGGTGAGGCGCCCCGCCCCTCGACCGCTCCAGGTGCAGCGGTGGGGACGGGAGTGTCCTGGCCCGGGGTCCCCGGACAGGACTTGGGGGGGCGCCATGGCCGAGTCCCAGCTGAGCTGCCTGGACGAGGCGCACGTGAACGAGAAGGTGACCGAGGCGCAGGCCGCCTTCTACTACTGCGAGCGGCGGCGGGCCGCGCTGGAGGCGCTGCTGGGTGGAGGCGAGCAGGCCTACCGCGAGTGGGTCAAGAAGGAGCGGCTGCGGGACTTCCTCTCCAGCCAGGAGCTCCAGGTCCTCCGTGCCACCTGGAGCCCCTACGAAGAGCCCGTCTCCAACGCCGGTGCCAAGACCAAGGCCAAGGCCAAGGCCCCGGCCGAGCGCAGCGAGTCCCTGGCCTACTGGCCAGACCTCTCGGACACCGAAGTGCCCCCGCTGGACCTGGGGTGGACCGACTCCAGCTTCTACCGCGGCGTGAGCCGCGTCACGCTCTTCACCCACCCACCCAAAGAAGAGAAGGCGCCGCACCTGAAGCAGGTGGTCAGACAAATGATTCAGCAGGCCCAGAAGGTAGGCCTTGGCCCTAATCCTGCACCAGTGGGGACCCCCCCACCCCCACCCAACACACACACCTGATCTCACTTCCCGGACACTCTCACCGTTCTTTGGGAAATGGTCCCCAGCTCACCCTCACCTCGTGGAGCTGTGCTGAGACCTTTTGAAAGAGGGATGCGAACATTTGTGGCAAATCACAAAGCGCTGGACCGGCATTAGTCATTCTTAACTACCGTGTTCGTCTGGAGGCGCTGGAGTTGTGTTCGTACACCTCTGCCACATCTTTCTCTCTTGGGCAGTGTGGAGGTTGTGAGGCCCTGTGCTAAACTGGTTCCTCAAAGGGCTTGATCATGACCTGTGAGCCCAGGGATTTCTTTACAAGGTGTATCCTTGGCCATTTCCCTATTTGATATACACAACCTCACGAAGTGGGTGGCTGGTGATGGCCTCCCTTACCCTCCAGGCCAGGTGAACGTTTCTTGGGAGCCCCTCTCCCCAAAACGACCATGTTCTCACATTCTCACCCTTTCCTGGGCTTGGTCCTAGAGCCTAAGCAGGATCGAATGAATGAGGAAAGCTATTTTGAGCTCTAGCTGTGGCTTGGCCCTGTGCTGGGTGCTCCCACCACGCACACACTGGACTCAGCCGCTCCAGGAAGAGGCTCCCATTTAGCCCATCTGCTCTGCCTGGGTGTTGAAAGATGTGTTTCCAAGGAACCTGGTTAGAATCCCAGTTGGACAGCTGGCTGTGGGGTAGGTGAAAGACTAGACTTTTCCTCTGTGCCCTTGGGTACTTGAGTAGTTTCCAGATAAAATGTGGGCTATTGCATTAAATCTGAACTTCAGTTAGTTCTTTAGTTATCAGTTTATCCCAAATACTGCATGGGATACATTGATGGGACTCTTTGTTCACCTGAATTAGGATTTAATGGAACAGCCTATATCTTTACTTGCCGAACACCGAGAGGTGGTGTACTTTTATCACATGTGTTTATTGTGTTTGGGGTACCCTGGCCCATAGGGACGACAAAGGACATCTTTGGGGGGTTGGTTCTCTCCTTCTACCCTGTGGGTTCTAGAAGTTGGATTCAGGTCATCAGGCTTGGTGGCAGGCCCTGTCACCCCCGAGCTGTCCAGTTAGCCCTTCACTGAGCCACAACAACGGCCTTTGCTGTCCAGAGGCTTGGGTTCACTGTGGGTACTCAACTTCATGAGTGTAATTAGAGCCATCTTTTTCCTGGAGGCCAAAGAGGATGGAAGATGCTAGAGGGGCAGTGAGGGCCTCTTCCTCCAGGGAGGTGTGACCTAGGCTGTGTGCTAGGTGGGTTGCCAGAGGAGAGGTTAACTCTTTACTGACCATACTTCCACCCTCCCTCTAGAATAATAGTTCCTTGTCTGACGAAGCTTTCTTTGTATACTACACTCTGCTGAAGAAAAGGGCAAGGCTGGATACAAAAAAAAAAAAAAAAAAAAAAAAAAAGAGGAAAAGGAAGTGGGTGGCAGTGCTGGGCAGCAGACCATAGCTGGGGTCAAGGGTCAGGACACATGATGTCATATTTTGTAACATTCACGAATTCTTGATTTACTTAGTGCTTGGGACACGTCACCCACTGCGTTAATGACTTTCTCAATTTGCTTAAAAAAACTGACATTTGTTATTATTTGTGTGTGTGTGTGTGTGTGTGTGTGTGTGTGTGTGTGTGTGTGTGCGTGCTCGAGAACATGCCTGTGTTGTAGGTCAGAGGATAACTTGCAGGAGTCTGTTTCTCTTCCCTCTCTGTGGGAGGTGAGTTGTAGGTTTGGAATGGCAGAGAGAAAAAGCCTGGGATTCTCTGGGTTAGAGATTACTGAGCAGGAAGTGAGAGGTTTCTTTTGCTCCAAAATGCAAAGAAGTTTGACCATTGGGAGCGGAGGACTCTCTGAGGCTGAGTAGGCTTGTGTACCGCACCTTCTCTCACAGTAAGGAAACTGAGGCACAGAGCAAGGGTAGCACTTAGGTTGTCAGGTGTGGCAGCAAATGCGTTTCCCCCCTTGTTTTTCACGACCCCTGGGTGAGACAGATGTTTTCCTTGTCTTTGGAGAAAAAGAAATCAAGAGGCAGGAAGTGACGTCCCTTGCCTAGCTTAGTAAACAGCTGAGCCGGAATCCATACACCTAAGCCATTGCTCTGAACCACTGTGCCACCCTGACCCGCTGTTCTTTGTCATGATGTGGTGGGAGTCTGCAAGGAGTTTGAATGAATCTAGTACGCTCTCAAGCTGTGGTATCCATTGTGTACCCTGTTAGAAGAAGACAGAGAGAGACAAGCACCCCCACCCAATGCAACTTCCATGACAGGTCTGTCCAGTATTGGGGGTTTTTTAGCAGAATCTTTTGCCGGTGTGAACCTATACGTGCGGGTTGACTGGACACATATTTCCAGGATGTCTGCTGTGTGCCAGGCACTAGCCATAAAGATCCAAGCTGTGGACTTTGCCCTTCAAGCGTTTGCTTCAATGCCAAGGCTGTGTTAGAAGGAAAAGGGAGTTTTGAGGCTGTACCTAGGAAGGCTCCTGTGGGAGGTGGGTCACAGGTGGGTCGCAGGTTTAGAGGGGGGGAGTGAGGAATAACTCGGATGGGAAGTTTCTCAGAGACTACTGAGCCGGAAGTGAGAGATTACTTTTGCTTCAATGCAAAGAAGTTATTTGATTGGAGGGAGCTGAGTAGTCTGTGAGGCTTGGCAGGGGTGTATACAGTGCCCTCTTTTACAGACAAGGAAACTGAGGCAGAGGCCAGAAAAGAAGTTTGCCTAAAGGTCACTTGTGGAGTTATAGAAAGACTGAGATCTCTACCGTGTATTCAAGACACAGCACATCCTGACCACTGCCTGGCCCTGGCTCTTGCTCATCCAACTGGCAAGCTATTTCCTTGGCAATCAAATGAGATTCTCCTCCCTCTTCTCCCTGAGGGAGGGAATTTCCCTTGTTTCCAGGGCGTGTCTGGCTGCCTTGAGGCTGAGTTAGACTACTGAGATCCCATGGCCTTGGAGGGAAGGCAATCCAGCTGAGTGCCAGGGATTTGGGGTTTTATTTCATTTAATCTTCAGAATAATCTTATAAGATGCTATTATTTTTGTTCCCAAGAGACAAATAGGAACGAGGGAGCTGCTGTGACTTGGTCATGTAAGGAACTCTTCCATTCCATACCTGATCCTCAGAGAAGGAGACAAGTTGCTAATTAGGGGACACTTTGAAACCACAACTTTGGCTTGGGGAGGAAGGCCCGGGGTGGAAACCAGTGAGGACATGGGTCAGTATGGAGGTGGTCCCTGGTCATGGGAGAAAAGCCTCTGAGGAGTTAGGTTTTAAGTAGCCACTCTCTGAGCCTCTGCAAATGGCAGAAAAGCCTTCCTAAACTGTGCTGGTACCCAACATTGAAAGATCCAGCTGTGTTTGCTTGTGGGGTGGGGTGTTCTGGTGATGTTTTCCCACCTCGAGAGATCTGCTTATTTTAGTGTCATTAATGATTTTCTTTGTCTACTTGAACTCCAAGCCTTTTACAAACCCTAGCCTGTGCCATGCTAGCAAGGAAGAGCAGGGCAAACTGCTGGACTTGGGCAGCTCAGACCTGTGGGACTGCCCGGGAGTATCTGACAGCAAGACCCCTCGGAAAGCCTGGAAGCCAGAGTAAGAGGAACAAGCGACCTTAGTCCCACTGGGCCTGCATCCCTTTGATCATGAAGGTCTCAGTGTGTGACAAGCATGCATTAGGAGAAAAGAGATGCATGAGACACACCCCCACTCTTCAGTAGCCTAATAGTTTGCTAATCCATCCTTATGATTCCGTGTGACAAGTGACTGAGAGAAGGTGTGGCAGGAGAGACACTACTCCCACCCTAAGCCAGGTTAGGGAAGGCTCTTCGAAGCTGTCTGAACACCTGACCTAGCAGGAAGGGTGAGAAGGTATCAAGCCTCTGCCTGTCCTTACGACCAGGGACATCCATTTGCCTCCTGACTCCTGCATTCCCGGGTCCCACATTCCAAATGCACCAGCTACACAGCTCTTCGCTCTTCCCCATGAACTGCTTGATTTCCTTGGCACTAGAAGGCAGGCCATTGTCCTCATGTCACAGAGGAGCCCTAAGGTCCCAAAGAATGAAGTAACATTTTTAGACCAAGGCCAAGGAGATTTGGAGAGAGGCTCCTAGCACAAGGTGTGGTAGATAAAGCGGCTTTGGCCAGACATCTGGGCAAGTGGTGGGAGGCAAGGGTGAACAGCTGGGATGCAGTGCCCAAGGAATATAGCAAAGTCTTGGAGTCGACAATTCATGTCACCAAGAGACCTGGTTTTTTCAGGTGACAGTCTTTACTCTAAGGTTCCCTGTCTTTTCCCATGAACACCAGTCACCAGCCACAGTGAGCAAATTGTACCGAGTCAAGAGCCTTCTCTGCACCAGGTCCTGTGCTAGCCACTGTCATGCGGAGAAGGAGATGCTGTCACTCCCCTGGGGAGTTTACTGGTTTCAGGAGATAACTGTGGTTAAAGCCCTTGCCAGGCAGTTATGATCCCCAGAACCCATGTGAATGCTGGGTGGCTGTGGTGGCCTACCTGTAATTCTAACCAAAGAAGGTAGAGAAAGGTGACCTCCAGAGACAGCTGGTTAGCAAGACTAGCATACTGACAAGCTCTGGGCTCATTTGAGGGTCCTTACCTCAATGAATAAGGAGAAAGAGCTATCAAGAATGATTCCCAATATCATCCTCCACATGCATGTGCACCCATACATGTGTGTCAATATACATGCTCATCATACCACATTCCTGAAAGGGGAAAAAAGGCTTACATTAATGATTTTAAATCTTAACGGTTTGTAAAATTGTAGAGTCAGATAATATGCTCACTTACACGTTACCCATCTTGCTGACGAGCTGGTCCCTTTGTCTCATCCTTTCTCCTTCCCACCTCGGTGGGGTGGGGCAGTTGATGAGATTCCGAGCTGTCTCCCTGCCTCCCCCCCACCCCCAAGACAACCAGGTC